AGTGTTCATAAAAAGCAAGTACTCACCTCGTCTGTTTATAGGAACAGAAATACGGTCACACTCGTAAGCTTAGAACCGGTCATACTCAATATACGCGGATACTCTAGTAACCCGTGATAATGAACATATATGTATAATACAGTACATTATATGCAACGTTGATTGACGGTCAATGGAAAGATTTAAAACAACTAGCTTGAAGTAAAAAAGTCACGTTTAAGGGTGAATGGAATTCACCGACGCCAATATAGAGAGACTACGGGTTTTATAAGTGAGGATCTAGGACTTATTTCCTGGTATTGTGGCAAAGAGTTCTTCGATTGTAACCTATCAAATGAGAAGTCCAAACTAAAAATGGATGACACATTCATGGAAGATGTAGCTCAGAAATGTGATCATTTTGAAAATGATCCTGAGACTATCAAATTATGGTTCGATAAAATTGAGAAATTTACATTAGATTTTACACAAAAGTCCTCATTAATTGACACAAAAGCGAGAGATATTGAACAAAAATACATCAACAATGAATATATGGGCGAGGATAATAAAGTTGATCATGCAAATGAAGATAGTGAGACACACATAGAAGAAGTGGAAAAAACAAAAGAGGTTATTCGTTCAAAAGGTAAAATTCCTAAGAAATATGGCCGTATTCAAGATATGATGGATGATAGTGCTAATTAGGGTGTATTCAATAGCATTTTCATTCTGAAACAGAAGTACTTTAAGGTTTCACTATCACAGCCACGCAATGCACTCGATTACGCCGTTTCCGTTTCGGTAACAAGATGACTGCGGTTCTGGTCGGAAATTTCGGTAAGATTTTTCTTTTTCATTAATTTCTCAAGATAAAGCAAGTCATCCAAATCTCTTCGTGGCACAAACATGTATGTGCATCATGTTTTTGGAACTCAAAGTGGTTTCGCACTAAATAGTTCGGTGGATAACTGATAAGAAAATAAGCAGTTGTCAAGATTAAGCTGAAACAGTAGCAAAATTTGGATTTTACCTAAAACCTATACATATAAAATTCAACTTTACCACACATTTGAAAATGTTTACGAGTTTCTGGATATCTATAGCTTGATTAAAACTTCGAAGATGAGTTGTGGGAATGGTGTGATAAAAGAATGTGTTTACAAGGAGAAAATAGAGAGGTTTCGCACAACGGGTCAACTAAAACGTATCCGCATCCGTATCTCGTTACGTTTACGGAAACGTATTTCGATAATTTTCGTTTCGCAGGTCGTTTTTTGAAGTTTGTAATTATAAACGCATCTCAATCCGTGTTTAATAGTTGTGAAAACAACTCCATTAGTATTAATGGTGAATGCAAAAATACATATTAACCCTTTCATCCCTAAGGGGTCATTTATTAATTTCATGAAATCAATTTCAAAATGAAGAATATCTGATATCCCTTAGGCCAGAAAAGATAATTTCTAGGTTTACAATAATCAATTCATTGTCAAACTATAGTTTGGGGGATATTTAAGGGTTTGAAAACAGATAGGCTGAAATAGTGGTCATTAAGTAAAGTGCAGTGACTGCATTATGCTTCAAAAGCCTTGCTCAAGTCGGTCTCTTACTTAGTATCTGGATTTCTATCCCATGGTGAAAGATATGACCGTCTAAAATCACTTGCCCTACCGCACATGGACCTTTAATTTCATGTCTTTGCAGCTGTATATTTTGGTTATACTTTAAGATCAAATAAGTAAAAAATACTGACTTGGTGGAAGCAAAGTAACATATTTGATCATAGAAAGTGACACAAATATATCATTTATGCAATAAAAGTGCATCTCCCCTGTTTTGTATGAAAAATCAACAAAAATATATCATGTAAAAAGATAAATTAGCATTGTTTTTTCTTGGATTCATTGAACAACAGGAGACCTCCCCTCATCAGAGAATCAGAGAACGACGCAAGCTAAGGCCAATCATACCAGTACCTAAGGCTTCAGGGCACTTGTCTCCCTGGTCCCCCAAACGAGGCCACTTACTATTTGACACAGATCGCATGACTTGATGCGTGTTCTAGTCATACCAGGGGAAGAAGCTCCCTGGTTAGAAATTTTATGATCAGCCTGAGCACTTTTCGGGAGTTCTTTTAGCCAAAATTGTCTAAAAGCTCCCCCTTGGCAAAAGCTGGATACGGGACGCCACCTTCAGACCCAATATCACATTCATAGCCGAGGTCAGGACCAAGCTGCTATACTAAAACAAGTCCAAACCCCTGCTCTATATGAATTTAGAGCGTGAGTTGGGGCGCAAAATATAAATTCAGGTGGCCTATATAGCTGCTAACCATTGGTTTGATGTCCCTAAGAAATTGACTACGGTATCACTATTGACCCTAGAAATTATAGACCGTACGGCTGCCTACCAACAAACATGGCTCAACCTTTATTCGTAAAAATTACAGGCCACCCACTAATAATCAAATTTATCGACAATTAAGCCTATTACTTCATCAAAATTAGCACGAGATACATGATAACATATGTGGGTTACTAAAAGTATACATTCAGGGAATTTATCAAGATTTGAAGGACAAAATAGATGCGGAAACAACTACGCACAGAAAGCGTTAGTTTACGTACTTTCGGTATTGCTGTCGGTTAGACAAACGTATTGAGTACACTTTTTCTCCATCGATAAGTTACGGAGTTTGATACGGGTAGCTAAAACGTTGTGCGAAACATGTACACTGTAATTATTGCAATACCATTCCATACAGTGTAAAATGAATAGAACATACCATTTGAAAAACTCGATTTATGTCAAACAATAAACAAATTCATTCACCAAATTTAAGTCAAATTATACAACACACTGTGCTTGTTCATATAGTGATACCTTTAGAACTAAAATCAATATAATCGAAGGATAAAATGGGATACGTAAATGACCAACGTAGAAAAGCCTCATATTTCGTGTTTTCCGAATCGCTTCACGTATAAATTGAACTGACTACGCATAAATCTGGTAAATACGTTACGGCCACGGATCCGTTGAGCTAAAAATCGTTTTGCGAAACCTCTTTAATTAGATTCAAACTGCGCATTCGCAGTGGACGCGTAGTCCAGTAAACGTCCTATTTGCCTTTGGCTGGACTGTGCTAGATTTATTTATAAAGCGACACTGAGTGTCGGACTGCGTTGGGCAGATGGATGAACTGCGGCTATTCTAAACTCCAATTTTTCACGTTTTCCGCTTACCAAAGATCACGAATATGTAATTGTGCGAACAGTTCTTGAATTTTGTATGCGATGATATTTCTGATTCCTTTGTTTAAATCGGTATATAAGGGACAACATTTGACAAAACTACATTCTTTGTGGCAGATTTCGAAGTTTGGATTTACCGCCATAATGCACTGCGCTGTGCCATCGTTTTGTTTCCCCATCGTGTACATGTACGTAAACGAAAATGCATTTTTAACCCGTTCTGTAAACGTAACAACGGTGAGGTATTAAATCAACGATTATGTAGTCTTCTGAACTATTTCTTCGCTAGCGTGTAGATTTTCTTAAACATATGATATTTGACATACGTTTATGATATGTCTTGGAGATTCTGCCTACAACTCGTAAAATAAGGAAAAAAGAAAAATCGTACCTTCGAGGTTCCGACATTTTGTTACCGAAACGGATCCGGTTGGTAACAAGTTTGAAGAGCGCCCTACCAGTGACTAAGTCATGAAATTCCAAAACAGGAAATGACATAAACATGCTGGATATTTCAAATTTTTCATACCAAGATAACAGAGTTCTGTTTTTACCTCTAGTCAGTTTACTAGTTCAACATATCATTTACATGACCAGGGTCACAAAGGGTATGGCTGGGATGACCCTTAACATGATGAAATAGCTTTTTCAGCCCTCTGAAATCAAAAATCGTTAAAAGGTATACTTTCGGAAAGGTCACCAAACAGTATCTTTTGAATTTTTTAGAAAATGTGCAATATGCTTTTAAATGAATGGAGCTTTGAACATATGAAAAATCGACTGAAACAAAAATGGCGGTTATAAAAAAGGAAAATAGATCGCTTTCAAATCATTTTTTCTATTTTTAAAAATGAATTCGAATTTTCAAAGCTAATAAAAAGATAATTTGTACCAGAACTAGGTGAAGCAACAACATTTTTTAACACTGAAATCTCTTGCGATAATATTGTTCAACTAGAAATTCAATCATTTTATGGCATTTTTGGTCATCTACATGTAGCTATCACACATAAGCTTATGTCATATAATTTTTACGCTGTATACGATTAACCTTTTTTATGTAAAATTACCTTTAAGGATGGGGAAAGATGGATTTTTCAGAGCAGTGGGAAATGGACAGAGCACTAGAAGTGATCAAAGAAAATATAGATGGTACGTGTCTGTTTTCCCCAAATTATGTAGGTTTTCTAGGGATAGTAGTTATTCCTTTTAGGAAAATAGTATTATAATGGGAAATTATCATGAATTTGTTTGTGCGTGACTTTTAATTTCTAATTTTGTCCTTTGATACGATTGCTAATAATCTAGCATTGAATGCTCTCTAATCTCTGAATGCTCTTTAGTCTGAATACTCTCTTATCTGAAATCTGACATCCTAATTCGGAGAGTGAACACTCGTATCTGAAAAATCAACCTGGCTAATCTGAACACATTTCACAAAATATCACATATTCCTTACAAAAGTAAAATATTTATATTCATTGAGAATGCATTTATATTTCAAAATCCAGAATCCTGCGGATGCAAAAACCTCGAAATTCGAACACCTCCTGAACACTTTTAGCCGGTCCAAGTGGCGTTCGGATTAGACTGGTTTTACTGTACATGGGAGATATACGTACGTGGGAGATATAGGGGTTAAAATAATGAAACTGTCATTATTCGTAACTATTCCTAAGTTCATTTACAGGTGCAAAGGTTGGATGTCGCTTGGGTTTCATTCAAAGTAGTGGACTTGTCGTATCCTGTCTCGGTGAATTTCTGGCACGAATCATCAATCCACACACAGCATTATTTTATTCAAATCCAGGTACTGTATGTAAGCAGAATATGTATCACGCCCTCGACATATTTACTGTAAAAGATCTGTGAATTTGTCTGCCATGGACAAATGCAGGTTCAAGCTAACATTACCACTTTGATTGAAAGAGAATAGTTTTTTTAAATCACAACATTAATATGGGTAAGAAGAAATGGTATGCTTATCGGGGACGTAACCCAGATCCCCAACCTATTGGCAATTTTAAATTTGCGAGGCAAAAATTAAGCTTTAAGAAATTAGGAAATTGGATGAAAAATAACTAAATACCGGTTGACGGATTTTGTTCTATAGGCTTTATGCCTTATATATACAATTGTAGGACCTCTGCTCATGATGGAATTTTCATCAGTGATTTTCAATTCAAAATTGCCACCATTTTTTGTAAAAAATGAAATATTTGATATCTCAAATACCAGTTGACGAATTTGGTTAAAGTATTATATGCGGATGCCTGGGAACGTAGAAGCTCTCTCCAAGATTTTTTTCAAGATGGCCACTGAATAATAAAGTTGCCTCCATTCTCGTAAAAACGTAATCTTTGATACCGAAGGACAGATTTGGTTCAAATGTAAATTTTATAACAAAAAAAAATTAGACCTGCGACTTGAACTTCGACCTGCGACCTATTGGTGTCCAAAAATGATTAGATAAAAACATTTATAAAAACCCTGCGACCTTCGATTTCTCAATCAAATGCCATTTTGTTATGTGTCAAATGTGATGTAACATCGAGTTGACAACGGTAATATTTGACAACGGTATATGTTAAGACAACGGTAAAGTGTCTATTTACCGTTGTCATTTTCCAATATTCCAAAGCAATACATCCACCATAGTTCGTTGTCACATCTTACCATATGCCGTTATCTTTGTAAATTATTTCAAATACAGATTCCGTTGTCATTGACGATATCGAAGACGCTATATTGTAGCGATTCACGACCCCATTTGATAGAAATTGGGATTTCATATAATAAACTTAAAACCAAGAGAAATTAAGAAATTACTGGAAAATAGATACATACAATTTTGGGAAACTAAAATAAAATCAAATAATGGTAAATTGAGGTTTTATAAGATAATAAAAGCAAAATGGAACAAGGAACCCTACTTGGATTTAATCAAAAATGAAATAGACAGAAATAACTTGACAAAGCTAAGAATTAGCGCACATAAATTAGAAATCGAAACAGGTCGTTACACAAAACCAATTACCCCTATTGAAGAAAGAAAATGTTTAATGTGTAACAAGAAAACCGGTTCAGAATGTCATTACCTATTAGAATGCAATAAGTTAAAAGATGTTCGGTCAAGTTACATGGATAAAATAAAAAAACACTGTCAAAATTTAGAAAACATGAATAACGTGGAACATAAATTAATGTTTCTATTTAATTCAGAGGGAATAATATTAAATATACTAGCAAAATATATATCTAATATTTTTATCGAGAGAGAAAAAAAACACGAAATGCATCCAATAAAATCTTGCAATGATCAAGCACCCTTTGATTAGTTAATATATATATAGATAATTAGTTAAGCTTTTTCATTTTTTTCTGTTTAAGCTGTACACTTTGCCCAAATGTGGGATACAAGTATAATAAAGCTCATAATAATAATAATATAATACATTATCACACGAGCTTAACACATGCACAGAATTAGCGACGATAAAGTCCCATGAAACGAGGAGCAAGTGATTAAAGAGTTGAAGCGATGGTTATGTCCGCCATTTGTGACGACGGTATCTGACTTTCCCGTTGTCAGGCTTTTCCTGTGTGCTTATGAAAAAAATGTTTGGCAAAAGGCTTAACATACTCTAAAAAAGGCCTGCAAACATGATCATGGCAACTGAGCAGTAGAGCCAACAAAAAGTTCTAAAAGCAAGTCCAATGTACTGATTAAGAAACCCTATTCTTACTATTGAAAATTGATTGTCCCACATGAATCTAGTTTTCGAGACTCAATCAACTTGAGTTCTTCTAAGAAAATGAGGATTTCAGCAAGGATGTGTTGACTTAAACAGGGGATACAATTGACTTCAAAGCTGCATCATCATGTAGACGTTTCATTGCTGTTCAAGAGGCTCTTGCGATCCTATTCCTGAGAGAGGGAGGTAGCAATACAAAGTTCTGGAAAATTATGCAAAAAGGGTGAAGAACATTGATTAAGTTTGAATTTGAACATTAATAATGTTTTGAACATAAAAATTCATTGTGTCAATCCTTCTTGAATGTTAACTTGGCACAGTGCTGATTTTACCACCTTTCATAAAAGTCACGCTTGCTCAGTCATCCATGGGAGTTACATAACGTTCATCGTTCACGCGCTCGGAACACAGAAAAATTGCAATTTTACTGTAACATTTTTTCAGTACAATACATTAAAAATCGACCATTTTTAATTCGGTTTTTGTATTTCAGTATGCTTAGATGATATACCTACTTTTATATTGTAACTCGCGCACCCGTAGCCATTTTGAAAAATGGGTGATAACACCCATTTAGCTACAACTGTTGCAATGCAATCACATATTTTCTTACTCTAGAGGTATTAACCTGCCCAAAAATCACTATGGTGATTATTCCCCTAACTTGATACCGATAACCTAAATTTGGGGGCGAAGCTGATGGTCTAATCACGCGGTACTAACTTCGACCGTTAATTTGAATTTTTGACCTACCGGATGTTTGAAAATCAAGGATTGCGTGTCTCATACTGCACCGTTTTTCTTCAAACTTATACCATTAAAAGCAAAACAAAATTGCCTTTCTGTCGGTGCATTACTTTATTGTAAAGAGTTCCTCGTTCTAGCAGCGTTTTGGTCCCCAGCTGTTAGAAGGCCTTCTTACAACTGGGGACCAAAATGCCGCTGGAAGTAGGGACTCTGTTTTGAAGAATAATGTACCAACAGAAAGGGATTTTTGTTATGCTTTGAATGGAACAAGTTTGAAGAAAAACGGTGCATTATGAGACTCGTAATCCTTGATTTTCAAACATCCGGTAGGTCAAAAATTCAAATTAACGGTCGAAGTTAGTACCGCGTGCTAATACCGTTCTGTAATTAGATCGTGTGACAACGTATTTTAATCGAGATAACCTACTCGACTCCGAACGTATACCGTACTTCATCAAATATTTGATAGCATTGCAACAGTTGTAGCTAAATGGGTGTTATCACCCATTTTTCAAAATGGCCGCCGGAGCACATGTTACAATATAAGAGACTCAGGGTATATCTAAGCACACTGAGATGCAAAAACTGAGATTTTAGGACCTAAGAGGATGTTTGTTAGCCAAATATTGGCCTGATAGCTCAGAAAAATAAAAAATTTCAAATTTTCCCTCTACAGTCCTTGTTGTCCCTTTAAGATCTATACTGTTAACCCAAATCGTTTATGTAACTCAAGTGAGGATTCAAATCGACGATTCTGTTGTCTGCTGAGCTATTTTTCGCAAACATGTACATTTTCTAAAAACTCTTCTCACCCTTCTAAATCGGGTTTTAATTTCTATATACCTCCTAAGAGCTGCCATTTTGGCATAGCAGGTAAGTGGTAACTTACTGATGCAGGTAACCATAGTAATCATTATGCAATAGAATGGAAATTCATCCGTAAGCAATCTCTCCGTAAGTTTGAGAAAGAACAATAGACTTGCGGATCCGTAGTAAAACTTACTACCGTAGAAAAGTGAAGTAAATATAAAGAATTATTACTTCACTTTTCTACGGTAGTAAGTTTTACCAGGTAGTAAGTTTTACCAGGTTAAGCTGACCTGGGATGACATGTCACGAACCTGGATTGGCTATTGTAAATCATTTGAACAAAAGGTTTTAAAGAAAAGACAATTGTTCTTTATATGACGCTCAGTAAAATTAATAGTATAAAAACAAAAATTCTCATAGCTTTTTGAATAGAAAATGGCACAGAGGTGACAAATACCATGTACTTAATAGTGTAATTAAAAAAGGACCAAAATTTATATCAAGTGTGCTCCATCATGTGATGCGATGGGATCAAGTTATTTTTCTTAAATATGTGAAGAGAACCTAAAACTCAGATGATTTCGAATTCGATATACTGAAAGAAATACGATTGTAGCTGGTTTCTGCTCAATGTGTACCATGTGCTACAATCGGACTCACGACCTTTTATTTTTATTCATCAACACTTCTCATTACATATAATTTACATATCTCGGCTTGGCATCCTCTTGGATGTATATAGCCTTTTGACTTTTATATTTAGATATACAGCTAATGCTTTAACGTTAGATATTCAAAAGAAAAAATGAAGAAATTAATAAACAAGAAGAAGAAACGAGAGAGAAAGAGAAGAGAAAGTTGCAGGATTTGCATAGCATACGATAATTTACATTGCGATACAAAATTACAAAAAGTTTAAGAGGCTCTTTTGCTTCTATTGATAATAAGTCTACACCAAAAAGACAAAGATAAATGATTTTTTATTAGTATTTTTTATAATCCGATTTAAATTTATTTCTGCTAATTATTTCTCTTGGAGTTTGGGAGTTCATTTCATATAATTTGGCTTTTGTGTTTGATGGATGTTTGACCAAATGCTGATTTAAAATCATTAGACCTGAGATCTATATATAGGCAAGACAAATTTTCCAATATACAGTATATATTTTGTTACAAGATACATTTTGCACTTTCTCCCCTTGCAACAATTGCAACTAATTGACAAACGTTACATATCCATCGTGTAGGATGGTCGCACTATTCTTACAGGTGCTGTTAAGCTAGAAGAGGAGATGGTCAGGTGGTTGGTAGAGTTTGTTGGTATGCCCACATCTAGCCAAGGGGCCCTAGTGTCTGGGGCTTCTATTGCTTCAATTATGGCAGTACGTACTGCGGTTCAGGCTAAACATATAAAGGCCAGGGACTATCACAGGTACGTACATGGGGGCACATGTATGATGCTTTAATATGATTGATCAAATCAGAGATGTTTATCTTTAAAGAGGCAATAAAGCACAAAGAAACTTTTTGAAAAATTAAACTTTTTGCTAGCAAAGGTTTGAATGTATTATCTAACCCCCCCCCCTATCACACCGAAGTATGTAGTGCTTACCCGTTCTTGCCAGTCCTACGAAAACGTCGTAAAACGGGCACAATCTGGCTGTGGTCGGGAAATATGTCTAAAATAATTAGCTAATTCGTTCATAAACAGTCTTCAATACGTCCATCTCGTTCGCAGTTCGTTCAGGTCGCACCAGGTCGGTGTGCAACGTCGTATAACGCGTCCCTTAGTCTAGAAGGTCATCATGACCTGATTACAGAACGGTATGGTCGCCAGCGAATTTTGAATCGATTCAAAATTCTAAATCACATTCCCCGTCCGGTAAAGTCCATGAAGTTCGAAAACATGTGACAATACAAACCAGACAACTTTACATTTCCTGTTGAAATGCCCACTGCTGACAGAACAGAGAATAACACTACTTGCAGGATTGGAGACGATAGGGATCCGTACCCACTATGATGGACTTAATATGCATGATCAATCCCAGTTCTTACTTTTTGGAGATAATAAATTTCCAATAGATGTCAATGAGAAACTAATGAACATAGTAGCATATTATATCCACCAGGGTCTAGATCTTTTGGACATGTAATCGATTACAACATGTTACAACTGAAATCCCTCTGGCCAAGGGAAAAAAACCTTAGACATTTTTGTGATATACGAGTGTAGTGTGATGATATTTTATTGACTTTTTTTTCATCTATTTTAACAATAACATGACATAAAAATAACTTATTATGTAAAAACTTAATAACATTCCTTTGGATTTCACTCAAAATTGCCGTCAATGTCATTAGACTTTGGCAATTGTTTAAGTTTGTATATCTGTATTTTATGGAATACAATAAAGATGATTAATAAAAAAAAAAAGTTCGAAAACAGACCGTAGAACGTTGCAGCTACGTTCATTCCGTTCGCACACAGTTTACAACCAGTTTTGAAGAACGCAGTGGCAGCTTGCTTGGTGTGATAGCTATATTTTTGCTAACTCGTTGATAAATACGTTCTTGATCAGTTTTAACCCGTTTGCAATTTGTTCTACCTCGTTCTCAACACGTCCTCCGACAGTTCAACTCGTTGTAAAAACGTCCCTAGTAGGATTGAAGTACGACGGTTCCGTTCGTAGTACGTCCAGCTCGTCGTTAGTAGGTTGTCACTCGTTCTAATTGTAGAACGTGATGACCAAGGGAACATTTTGAGCATGTTCTAAGTTCTAGAGGACCTACCCGTTCGAGTACATTCGATGAAGTTTGTAAATAGACCCCAAGCGGTTCTAAGTACGTCCTGAGTCCGTTCGTACACAGTTGAAGCCCGTTTTCGAGAACGTAGTGAGAACTAGTTTGGTGTGATAGTAGGGTAAGAAATATACGAGTTCCGACTTCATTTCATAAAATCATTAGTCTAGACCCTATCTCAAATAATCTTTTAGAAATCAGATGAGTTCATAGTAAAGAATGTATATTCCAAATAACTTTTGAGACCATTATACACTGTAGGCTTACAGAGTCAATAATAAGGAGTTTAAGCTTGCAATGTTTTTCACAAAATAAACGCGAACGGAAAATATTTAATCGATGCATTTGTATGGGCGATTGGTCATACGTATAGGTTGGCGTTTCGATTTTATATGCAAGCTTAAACTCCCTAATATCTTTACGGAGGCCCTGTCAATGTACAAATATTGTATAACAGTTACAATAAAACTAAACTAAAAGATTCTTCAGATCTTTGTACTTTATTGCCACTCACTAATACTTCACATTACTCAACATACTAATTGCTATCTGTATACATAACTAGGCAGGTGGTGTACATCACCCAGCATACTCATCGCTGTATCATAAAGGCTCTCAAAATCTGTGGGATGGTTGAATGTGAAGTGAGAACTGTTAAGCATGACGCTGGCACCCGTATGGATCCCAGACATCTTGAAGAATCTATTGAGGAAGACATGAAGGTAGACGTGTCAAAATTATAGATTCGGTTCTAACATTAGTGTCCGCAAGACACTGCTTTATGGAGCCTAATTAACTTGCAAAAGAACAATCCAGATATCACACAGACAATCAAAAAACTTTTTTTGTGTCACCCTGTAACATACAGTATCATATTTCTTCAGACTAACTTCAAACTTGAAGCTAGACAAGCTGTGTCCAATTCCAGCAAATCAGAACACGCTATTTCAAGTAACTGCATTTCATTATATAACCAAAAATTCACCCTCAGTCACTTCTTGTAGATTTTATTGAAACTAATGCTTCATATTTGAGTAAAATTCTATAAATAGTATCATAGGGAATAACTAGCTATGTGCTAATGCAGTGCTATTATAGTGCAGTTATGGAAGGGCAGGGGAATGGTTATCTTGGTGTTCTAACCATTTGAATGTTTGTCTTTCAGAGTGGTCTTCATCCATTTATGATAATTGCTAATTTGGGTAATGCAGACACTGGTGCTATAGATCCATTAGATGCTATAGCAACAGTTGCTAAGCGACATGACACATGGTTCCACGTTGATGCAGCCTATGGAGGATTCTACATGCTGTCTACAGAAGTTAGGAAGAAATCTAAAGGTATGTTCTGGAGGTGAACCTATTTATTTTCGTAATATCTAAAAATGTTTAATTCGAAAATCAGACATTTTAACAATATGTCCTCATTATTCCTAATATTATTTGAAGAATGTAACAGTTATATGACAGTCTACAGTTTTTAAAGGCCCTATTTATCATAGTCTTACCCAATGTTATCACAATGTGGTATGTGAAACTTTGCAATTTAAATTCAAAATGGTGATTTTGAAGGACCTTTTGTTAAAAAAAATTGTGAACTTATTTCAAATACTTTTTTTGTTGTCACCCTCATATATCAAAAAGCAGTAATTCCCACCAATGGATAGCGTAAGTCCTAATTTATTTTATGTTGAAAAATTGAGAAGATTGGTTGAAGAAGAAATGAACTCACAGGCGCAGAAAGGTGGTTCAGAGAAAGTGGCCTTTCAAAACATAAATTCTCATTGAAACCAATGGTGCAAAAATATTCTAAACATGATAAACACTTCTTTTCAACTAATATATGTATAAACCTTTCATATTGTTTTATTTTGAAAGTTAAGCATATTTAGAAAAGATTTTGAGGAGAAAAAATTGATGAATTTTGAAAATAATTTTGCACCCTAAATGACATCACGGCATAACCTGATGACATCACAATTAAAAATGGTCTAAAATTTAATGCATGCATGAAAAATTAAATTCACTTGTTGACATTTTTTGACTTTATTATACTTGATCTATCCAATGGAGTGAAGAAAATAATGTATGCTCTAGTGTAAGGCGTTGTATTTGATGGTCAATAAATTAAACATTTGCTGCTAAAATGGCGGGAAATTCAATATTCAATAATTGAATAACAAAATAACTTTTTCTAAAAGTCAATTTTTCAGAAAATTTCCAATACACCTTTTTAAGTCATGATAAATTATATTTAGATACACTATATTTTCAAACTGTGGGCAGGGCCTTTTTTAACCATTTTCTTCAAAATATGCTGCAGCCAGAAAGGCTATATAATTAGACTGTCTCAAATACATTTCCTAATCATAATATTTTATATCTTAGTCCAAGCGGCGATTAAATTGTTTTCACAAGCAAAACATTAATATATCGGGCGTCCAAAAAATACGTCACACTTTTTGACAAGTATTTTCTCAGCAATTAATTACTCTTGAAAGCCTATATGCTAAAATTTGTAAAGTAGCCTAATGATATCATTAACAAGTTGTATACAAACATGAAAGAGATTGGTCACATATTTTGTGAGAATTGGCAAAAATGCATGTAAAAATCCAATATCAGAGCTGAGCAATGAGACTTCATAGTGCTTGTGTCTGCTATCAGGTGAAAGAATCTGTCAATCAGTTTTAGTCTCAAAAAACAGCTTGTCTGTGTATGTTTTTTTGATTTGTTTCACTGTTTTTTGTTTGCAAAATAAGTTCTGTCCAAAATTTCAGCTTTTGGGGATAAACAATACATTTAAGATGCGCAATAAGGCTACTATTGATAACTGTTTCAAGGTGAAAGGTTTTGGTGGAAAATCAATCTAAATGAATTTAAGGCAAGAGTTATAGTCATGTTACTGTGAATATACCCATGAACAGAAATGTAGTAGATCCAACATGCATTAAATAAAGGAGTAATTATGTCATAGTAGGCGATATCAATAAAAAATAGTACCATGGGTACTGCACTCACATGGGAAGGCTTCAATATTTTTGATAATTTACAGTAGGAGCTGAGAATAATTAAAGTTGCATATGAAAGGTTGATGATAATTTTGTACAAGTACCGGTACTTGGCTAGCTGGAAAACATGGGTATAAGCTTCAATGAAGTTGGAACAGAGGGATTTCAAAAGCACGCTAATAGGTAGCTTCCTGTATGATTTTTCTGCAATAAAAGTGGCGGCCATTTTGCAATTTGCAACATGTTTTGCCTGCATTTGTCTTATAGACACTTTTGATAAGCTATAAATTAAGATAACTGTACAATTTCAAGTAAATTTATGGAAGTTGGTGGAATTGATGTTCTGAAAAAACCTGAAACCCTGATTTTTCTACAATAATTCTACAATAAAATTGGCAACCACTTTGAATATCTGCAACATATTTTGCTGTAACGTGTAGACATTATTAACCTTAAAATTAAGGTACCTATACAGAGTTATGGTGAAAAGGGAACGGAAAGCCTGATTTTCAGCAATAAAAGTGGCGGCTATTTTGAATCTTTGCCACATATTTTGCCCAAACTCGTGGACATTGTTCAGAAATAAAGGTACCTGTATTCAAGCAAATTGATGGAATATTTGTGGAGTTATGACCAAAAGCGAGCTGAAAACCTGATTTTCCGGAGTAAAAGTCGCGGCCATTTTGAGTGTTTGTAACTTGTTTTGCCGATCTTGATCTTAAATAAAAATACCTGTACAGTTTCAAGCAATCTGGTGGAAACCTTGTGGAGTTATTACCAAAATAGAGCCGAAACCCCGATTTTCCGCATTAAAAATGGCCGCCATGTTGAAATGAGGTGTGCTTTTGAGACGCCATTTATGGAACAATTGATGACATTATGTAGACACATTTTAAAAGTGAACCCATTCCAAGTGTCGTGGAAGATTTGGAATTAGCTACCAATACCAATGTTTTGACAGACGGACAAACAGACAGACGGAAATCAAAGAAAGGTTGGCGATAACATGGGCTTCAAACCATGGCGATAACAAGAGCTCACATGGTGATTACAAAATCATCTCTGCTGGGAAAAACAGCTTCTTTCAGACTAGAACAAGTTACTTTCCATTAATCTGGATTTTGCATTTTCAAATCTGTCATTTCTCACATAATATGTAACCCCCCTATCACAGCAAACTAGTTCTTACTCGTTTTTGCCAGTCCTACGAAAACGTCGTAAAACGAGCTCAATCTGGCTGTGGTTGGGAAATATGTCTAAAATAATTATCTACTTCGTTCATAAACAGTCTTCAATACGTCCATCTCATTCGCAGTTCGTTCAGGTCGCACCACGTCGGTGTGCAACGTCGTATAACGCGTCCCTTAGTCTAGAAGGTCATCATGACCTGATAACAGAACGGTATGGTTGCCATCGAATTTTGAATCGATTCAAAATTCTAAAATCACCTTCCCGTCTGAGAACATTCATGAAGTTTGTAAATAGACCTTACAAAGTTGCAGCTACGTTCATTCTGTTCGCACACAGTTTAAAACCAGTTTTGAAGAATGCAGTGGCAACTTGTTTGGTGTGATAGCTATATTTTTGCAACCTCGTTCATAAGCAGTCTTAAATACTTTCTTAATCAATTTAAACCCGTTTGCAATTAGTTCTACCTCGTTCTCAAAACGTCCTCAGACAGTTTAACTCGTTGTTAAAACGTCCCTAGTAGGATTGAAGTACGACGGCTCCGTTCGTAGTACGTCCAGCTCGTCGTTTGTACGTTGTCATTCGTTCTAATTGTAGAACGTGACGACCACGAGAACATTTTGAGCATGTTCTAAGCTCTAGAGGACCTACCCGTTCGAGTACGTTCGAGAGTAATATAATTTATGTTAGTCTCAGGTTCGATGAAGTTTGTAAATAGACTCCAAACGGTTCTAAGTACGTCCAGTCCGTTCGTACACAGTTGAAGCCCGTTTTAGAGAAAGTAGTGAAAACTAGTTTGGTGTGATAGTAGGGTTACCCCCCATATCACACCAAACTAGTTCTTACCCGTTCTTGCCAGTCCTACGAAAACATCGTAATACGGGCTCAATCTGGCTGTGGTCGGGAAATATGTCTGAAATAATTACCTTCTTCGTTCTTAAACAGTCTTCAATACGTCCATCTCGTTCGCAGTTCGTTCAGGTCGCACCACGTCGATGTGCAACGTCGTAGAACGCGTCCCTTAGTCTAGAAGGTCAACATGACCTGATTACAGAACGGTATGGTCGCCATCGAATTTTATATCGATTCAAAATTCTAAAATCACATTCCCGTCTGAGAACGTTCATAAAGTTCGTAAATAGACCTTAGAAAGTTGCAGCTACGTTCATTCCGTTCGCACACAGTTTAAAACCAGTTTTGAAGAACGCAGTGGCAACTTGTTTTAGTCTAGTAGGAAGGTATGGTCCCCATGCACCCGAAAGATGTATTTATTTAATGTACATTTTTGTAATCCTAAAGGTCCATACTAAAGATTTTTGCATGTTCCCAGAATGAAATATTGTCCCATGGTATCCATTGGCGGCCATCTTGTCGGCCATCTTGAATTTTTGAAAGAGTTGGTGTTAATTATCTCAAAGTACAATAACTTCCACAGTTTTGAGAATT